ACTCATTCAGTCCACGACCGTGATTCCCTCAGACGAAGGGACAAGACTCCCCCTCGGTCGATTTCTCTGCGGATTTCTTCTTCCTTCTCCTTTTCTTCGCAGGCAGATCAGAAGCCCGATGCCCCTCGGTAGCTGCAGGGTCATTGATTCCTTCCCCGCTAGATGGATCATCAGAACGCGATCTCTTTCTACCCTCATCGAAAGGGTCCGACGTCCCCGTCTTCGACGTGTCACCAAAGGATCGAGCCCCGAGATATGTTGTATTGTACCCATCTAAGTTGAACCCATCCAACACATTCATAAGTCCGCCTGCTCCCGATGGTTTCTCCCCGACTTCGATCATAGCAGCGAAATCTGGCAGTTCCCTCATTTTCAATGCCTTGTTGATTACTGGTTGTTCCTTTTTCGAGAAAAGTGTCGATCGCTTCTTTCTGGACCAATCTTTACACAAAAGCCTTGAATCGTACTCGCCTGCGCAGGAGACAACAAATTCGATGATTAGTAAGAGGGGGGAAACGACACGCGAATTTGAGGGCTTACCGTTGTCTATACGGTCCAAAGCACGGCGTACTCTCTCTTCACTTAGGTGGGGCCAGTTACGGTGTCCAAGCTCAACTAAATCTTGAGCGTTTTCGTAGAAAGACCCCAGGACTCCACTCAAGAACGGATGATTCACTGCATAGTATAAAAGAATAAGAGGTTAGCAAAGGACAAATCTTTACGAATGAAGAGTAGCTATCTACCAGCATGCTAGTGCCACAACACTCGGAATCCATCACCCAGTGGATCGGCAAACGAGATTCATCAGACTTAACAAAAAAGTAAGATTGTTTCCAGTCTGGCATCTTTGACGGATGACATGTGATCACGTTGTAACTCGGTCTCATCTTCACCGAGTAGAGATCATTCTTCAGGGGTTTGATAGAGTTCAACTCCTCGAACACCCAGGGATATAATGATATGCCGATATCGGCCGCCATCACCATTAACGCGACGGCTAAACGAAACGCACTGTTTACAAATTGGCATATAGCCAAGTCCCGACGAGAGGCGTATGACATTATCAGTCGTGGTATCTGAAACCAAAGCTTGCTTGAAGTACGACTCATAAACGCACTGATACCCAACTAGAGGCGACCAAGGGCGTTGCTCTTTAGTCGGTATCAAGTAGGTCACACCAACCGCGTTGAGATTCATGAGCAAACGCTCGACGATCTCAGGAGCCGATTCCGTCGACCGCACGATTGATTGAACATCAGCACGACAAAGAAAATTTTGAGGAACCTTGGAACCTTGCTCAAAAATACCGCCGCCTGAATAACGAGTAGGCACGGGAGGCAGAGCTTCACCTGCCTGATTCCTAGCAACCGGCCCCGAACGTGTTGGGTTAAGACGTGGTCGCCTCACCTGCGTGTAACCGAGCGGGTCAGCTGCCGCGTTACCGTCATCCTCTCCCCTGAACTCCCTTTCTGAACAACAACCAGGAGCCTCTAAGCTAAGCTAAGACCGGCCGAATCCCTTAACGAACTTCGATGTTCCAGGTTGAAATTGTCCAAAGGCTCGTTAGTCGTCTCATCCCGAGCGGGACTCGGCGCTGCGGCGATTCCTTTCCCTTTCTCCTCCGCGTCAATCTCTTCCGGGGACACATCACTACCAACGGAAAGTATATATCCTACAACTAGCTAAAGAGAGAAAGTAGAGAGAAGGGAGAGAAGAGATACCTGAAATTACGAAGAAGAGTGGAGAGAAGGGAGAGGAGAGACCTATATATAGAAAAAGAAGAGGCATGATTCCCAGAGCTATCATCATTAGGTCTACAAAGACATAACTGAACTTTTCTTCTCGCGACTCTTTGACTTCCAACGTTAATGGGCCGAGTTTTGCGAAAAAGCCCATTTCTTAACGACCGTTCGGATTCCTTCTGGCGATCTCTCACAACTGTTACCGAGTAAGAAATGTGATGTCCTTCCACCGAGCAAACGACTTAACATCCTTTGATCACCCTATTGCCGAGAAAGTATCGAAACACCTCGTCTCGACTACCGAGCAAGAGATGAGATATTCTTCCACCATCCATCTACCGAGTGAACGACTCAACATCTCTTGATCACCATGTTCCCGAGTAAGAAGTGATATGCTCTCTCGCCGTCCATTTACTGAGTAAGCTCGATAGTTCGCGCTGTTTGACTACCGAGTAAATGACTCAACATCTCTTGATCACCCTGTCGCCGAGTAAGAGATGTGATTCTCTCTCACCATCTATTTGCCAAGTAAGCGACTCGATAATTCGCGATGCTCGACTACCGAGTAAACGATTTGACGTCTGCATTCATCTAATCGTCAAAAAAGCAATTCAACATCCCCGTCCGTTTTCTATCAAGGAAACGCCTCGACGGACTTCCTTCTGCAAGCCAAACACGCTATCTCACAGGCCTGACAAACAAAATTCACTATGATTCACTGTGCGAATCACCAGTGGACTGGGGGACTTACACTAGGAGGTGGATTGCATCCCATCATAAGGCCCATGAGAAAGCATGCTTGGTCCATTAGAAGAACAACTCGGCGGCTTAGCCAGCGACTAACAAATCGGCTCAGTGCAAGACTACTTCTAGCCGAGTAGAGCCGACTCCCCACTTTGACTACTAATGACCAAGGGGAAGGTGTTTAACGAGCCCCATACTCGCAGGCCGTGTAAAGGCCCATTACGAGAGGCATTCTACTACGCATCGCTCTAGGTCAACGGGAAAGGGAATCTACTATAAAAAAGAGAGAAGGCATAATAAAGGGGGGATCCGAAAAAACACTGATTAGGCAGCAGCTTAAACTAGGGTTTTCTTTTATCTCGTTGTTGTTATCTGATCAGTCCGTATAGTTAAGCTCTTTGAGTACCGAAGTCACTCTTTGTATTCTTTTTGACTATAAATAAACTCTCTTTTCATGTTTACTCGTTTACACCTTCAAAATAATCCACCAATGAATTTTGTGGATTATCTTATTCGTTTATCACCAAAATCGGTTCAAACAATATTTTCCTCCTCAGTTCAGATGGGAATTCCTTGGTACGACTAGGCACCCACGCAACATACAAATATAAATTTCTTTAAATAAATTATAAGTTTTATGTTTCGTTTGTTTTGTAAATGTAACAGTAATACCAGCTTTTTTGTCTTGTACCACTTATTGCGATCATTCACACCTTTTGTACACATCATACAAGTTTATTATATCAAAGAATTAAATTATATTGTTTTCATAACTAAAATAAGGCTGTAACGAATAGAATTTATAAATAGTGTCTGATCCTTTAACGAATTTTAAGATGATAAAGGCTTCCGGGAGGAAGAATGCATCAGTTTTTGTACTAGATGGGGTCTAAGTCTAACAAAGCTTCTTTTCATATTATCTTCCAACTCAAACGCTAAAGAAAATTTGTCATAAAAAGAGAATAAAGTATAAAAAGTCTATTAATAATCTAACGCATGATGCTCTAATGCACATGCTCTGTCTCTCTTCTTTACAATACTAGTTGCATAGAGCTGAGGATCATTGATGTTTACCTGTGTTTTTTTCGGTTGTTAGTTTAATAGGTTATTCTAATAATACCAAATAATGATGAAATGAAAAAAATGTAGCAAGAGAGTAAAGTGAAAATATTATATATATAATGTATTAAATGTTATTTATATATGAAGTAAGTTTTATAGGAATAACGAAATTATAATATAGTTTCTAGTGTATAATAATAGGTGTCTATCTTGTTTTTTATTTATTTTTATTGGAAATAGTTTTTATATCAGAGGTCAAAACTTGATATAATTATTTATTTATAGTATTTATATTTATACTAAACGATTTATCAATTTGAAAATAACTTTAATTTAAGCTAATATTTGTTGTTTGGGTTTCAATAGATAGGTTTGGATATGTTTTTTTTGTAAGTTTGGATTTTGTTTATGAATAATATGACATTTTTATTTACGGCGTCATCGACTGTGGAAATCCATTCGCCGGAGTCTGATAAAAATGAAATTATAGTAACTATTAAAAATTGAAGAGAAATTACATAGTTATTTTATAGATAACAAAAAATACTTAATTTTGTTGTTTTATTTTATTTCACATACATAATTTTTTGAAAATATATATTAGAAAATATGTTCTAACATAAATAAATATTAGGACATGATAGTGCCGCGTGAGACTCGTTTTATTTTTAGGGATGAAATGGAAATAATGTAGCAAGAGTGTAAAGTGAAAATATTGTATATATAATGTGTTAAATGTTACTTATATGCGAAGTAAGATTTATAGGAATAACTAAATTATAATATAGTTTCTAGTGTATAATAATAGGTGTCTATCTTGTTTTTTATTTTTTATGTTGGAAATAGTTTTTATATTGGAGGTCAAAACTTGATATAATTATTTATTTATAGTATTTATATTTGTACTAAACGATTTATCAATTTGAAAATAACTTTAGTTTAAGCTAATATTTGTTGTTTGGATTCAGTAGATAGGTTTGGATATGTTTTTTGTAAGTTTGGATTTTGTTCATGAATAATGTGGCATTTTTATTTACGGCGTCATCGAGTGTGGAAATCCATTCGCCGGAGTCTGATAAAAATGAAATTATAGTAACTATTAAAAATTGAGAGAAATTACATAGTTATTTTATAAATAAAAAATACTTAAATTTTGTTGTTTTATTTTATTTCACATACATAATTTTTTGAAAATATGTTCTAACAGAAAATATATATATTAGGACATGATAGTGTCACGTGGGACTCATTTTGTTTTTTGTTTTTTGGACTGTTCGTTTTTTTATCCCTTTTTAATTGTTTTTGGGTCTGAATTCGTCAAACTTTAGAATTTTTCTCACTAGTTTTCGTTTTAAACAATAAGTGTAGAGGAAAAAAAACATTAAAACATTAAAACTAAAAAACCATATGATAATAATTTAAAAAAAAAAAAACTAAAATACATAACAGCTACGCGGTTTGAACCCACACTTGTGGACTTCATTAGATGTCTTATACCACTAAGCTAAAGTATATTTATTGTTCATACTCATTTTAAACAAACTCTAAGTTTTTAAAATTTAAATGTGCGGAACCCACAAACTTACCGACGTGGACAGCTTTAAGATCCTTGAAAATGTATCATTATAATATAGATTCCCCGTATCCCATAAACTATTATCCACAAAACCCAAATATAAACCAAATACACACACATATTAATATAAAGCACAATCTCATACACACACATACTTTTGTACAATAATCACTACCTAAAGTTAGGACCTCAAATATCACATGGTAGATATAGTGCTACAATAATAACACATCAACATTATTCGATTATGCAAAACTAATAAATAAAGCCAGTGTGACCACAACAATGATATTTTTTGCCTATAGAGACGCCATCGCCGTACACTCGAGATGTCTCGGGCAAGCGATCAAATGGTCGTTTGTTAAACCGGCGGCTTGCATAAACGAATGTATAACTGTCGGACCAACGAATCTAAACCCACGACGAACCATGTCTTTGCTTATGGTTTCTGATTTTGACGTTTTAACCGGTATCTTTTGGCAAGATGTGTATTTTGCGGTAACCGGTTTGTATTTCATAAATCCCCAAATGTATTTGTTGAATGACCCGAAATCTCTTTTCACCTGTAATATATTTTTAATCAATTTTCGCTGAATTTTTAAATTTAAAAACCGCATCAAAAAAATATGTTTTATCAGTCTCTATTGATATATACCTTGAGAATTTGTTTAGAATTGTCAACAATTGCAAGGACTTGGCTAAGGCCAATGCTGTAGTCGTTGACTATCGACTGTATCCTCTTCTCGTTAAAGTCTGCGATCAACTCTGCTTCGAAATCGGAGAAAGCCTCTCTGTAAAACCAATTATTACAAATTTAGACCAAAAGTTTCACGATAAAAGTAAAAGTCAAATTTCATTTTGTGTGTATCTTAAATATTCTTACCTAAAAGTGTTTCTTCTCTTCAAAACCGAAGCCCAATCTGATCCGACCTGAGCTCCGGTTAACACCAGAAGCTCAAACAGTAGGCTGAGAAAAGATTTCAATAGTAATCTTAATTAGTTTCGGTTGATAAGAAATGTATGTTCTGTTTATAAAAAAGGAAAATTTTATTTACTTGTCATCATGAACAGGAACTCCCCATTCTTCATCGTGGTAAGCCACATAGATTGGATCTGTCAGAACAAATTAATATTTTAGATCTACTTAATCAATACTCCCTCTGTTTTTATATTTTAAGTAGTTTTAACATTTAAATGCAACTTTTGCATTTATTGGATATTGTATAACCAATTAAATTATTTAAGTGTTTTATAATTAGCTGAATTCGTTAAATGATATTTTTAAAAATTTAATAGCTTTCTTAATATTAGTGTTAAACTATTTAGATTTCGAAACAAAGGGAATGTTAACTTGACATGGAAAAATAAAATTGGTTTTTCGTGCTGAATAAGTTAACTTTTACATTCTTTTATTAAAAATATTAACTTTTACATACCTGAACTTGGAGTGATGAAACTGCATCTCTTCTTCTTATCATGCTCAACATTTAAGTTCATTTCAGTTGATTTTACAGCTTTTACTCTACCATAATGAGAGATTTTCTTCTTTCTTTCTTCTTGTTTTATCGCAACCTCTTTTCTTCTTGCAGCAGCTATACTTCCAGGTTGCTTCTGAACTTTCACCGTGGACATAACCTCTCTGTAGCCACAATTAGTGCCCTCCGATAATTTAACCGATTTAGCAGCCGGTTTAGGCTTCTCATAACCGGCTAGTTTTCGTATGGGTTTTAAGTTGGGAGACAAAGGTAGAGAGTTTAGGGATATTGATTTTGGTGAAGGTATCTTTGATGCAATGGGATGGATCAAAGGCTTAGGAGGAGATTTCTTGAGTGAGTTGCGTCGGTCTAAAGTGGGAACTTGATTCGATTTTGGCTGAAGAACCGGACGGCCATTGATTTGGGAAATGGTTTCTTGGTTCATGTTCTTGGATTTTGAGGAACACATTTTCTTTTCCGGTCTAGCTTTGTGTTCTTGAAGGATGATGATAATGGGATGAAACAAATGTGAGATCGCTAAAAGGGTTTTTATAAATGGGCAAAGGATGATAAAATGTAGGGTAGGTATCAAATTTAATAATTGCTTGTGGGATGTACTCTTATTTATTATATGCACACTAATTAAGGGTTTTGAGACAAGAGTCTTGATCGATAAAAAAAAAAAGAGAGATAAGAGTCTTGTACTGTGTTTAATAAAGGTCTGTTGGTGTTAATTAGGGTTTTAATTAATTAGGGTTTCGAGTGAAAGAGAAGTGGGTTTCTTTAGGAACATGGTGGGGTGAGATATAAAATGCAAATCCAGAATAGCCTATGGCTTAGGGAAGAGTTAGTTACTCTTGGGGGCACCACCGTAGGACAAGGACACCACATTCCTTTTTTTTTTGTTTACTCTTTTCTCATATTATATATTTTCGTGTAACTGATATCTAACTATTTAATATTAACGTTCACAAATATTTCAACACTTTTAATTTCACAGTTTGTTAAGGTGTTTACACTACAAGAATTATCAACTTTGTTAGTACACCGAAAACGCTACGAAAAGGTTTTAGTAGCGTTTTTAGAAACGTTAGGTCTGCCGCAGCTATGGTAGATCCCCCTCGATTATTGTAACATTTTTCCGTGAGCTATAATAAATAGATATGTAGTAGCATTTTTTTACTAATACCGTAGAACTTTTTTATAGCGTTTTTTTGTCATGTTTTACCTTTCTATGGTGATTTTACATTGCAATGACATAATTTCTAATGACCACTAGGTTGCGCCATGGAAGTTTTGTTCATAACGTTTTTTTTTGTCGAAATGTTCACGTATAATAGCGTTGTTTTATACTTCTTGAATAATATTACGTATCTTATTTATCGTGCTAGTATTGCAATTTTCATGGCTTTTTTTGTGCCATATAATTTCGTATATTGACACAATTTTTTAATTTGATTTTGTGCTATATTTGTTTTTATTTGTATAGTTAATTGCATACTTTAATATTTAAATGCATAACAGAATATATAATTACACAAATTTATATAAATAAAATAACAAAATTAATTTAAAACATTATTTATTAATTAAGCTTCATAGATCCCATACAACTAACAGAATATGCAGAAACAAAAGAAAATAAAGGACAATGCCATTTTACACACATGAAATCAAGAAAATACAGAAACATCCCATTAGTTTGAGCTACCACCCTTGCCTCGTGAGGACTTGCGTTGTTTCTTTTGTGGGCGTCTCTCTGTTGCTGAGTTGTAGGCACCTAATGCAATCAGATAGCGCATTTAGTCTTCGTCCATGCCTTGACTCTGAGGCAGGCTTCTCACATTGCGCAGGAACTCTAAGTCGATGTCTTCTACAGAGGGTCTGGAGTCTACAGGATCCTCAATGCGTATCAATACATTGCTTCCTACAGAGGACTGTGCACTTGTGGCTTCCTGCGGATGTTTTCCTTTCTTCTTTGCATCCATTGTTGACTGGAAAATTTAAGACAAGTTAAGGATATTTGAATTGAGGAGTCTAATAAATTACTAAAAAGTGTATAGATCTCTAACCTTGAAAAGGGGTCTTCCGAATTCTGCAGGCTTCAGATCTGTAAGATTTGTTAACTTCTGAGTTCGAGAAATCTAATAATCAGAAGGAATAGTTAGATGTATGGTTCAGAGGTCGCAAACCTTTGAAATAATCGTGAGGAGTGATGGAGAGACGTGAGATCCGTGATGTTTTGAGATGGGATCGTTAGGAGGGATGGAAAGTCAGAGAATCGTGGTGGTTATAGAGAGAATTGGGGTGGTGGCGATAGATATAATCGTGGAGGTGGAGAGAAAAAGAGTAACCTAATTTTGCGGTGGTTGCTACGAGCCTCTCGATGTTCCTCTTTTTTTTGGAGGCTTATAAAGAAAATGTATTTTCGTTTGGCTCCCAAAATTTAACCTTTTTTGTTTTGCCTCCAAAACTTTCATGAAAAAATTAGTTTTGACTCCAATATATATAACACGAAAATATAGTTCTCAGCTTCAAAATCAATGGTTTTAGTTTGATTTCAACATAGTTTTAGGTTATTAAAATTTGTATTGTAGAATATATGTATTTCTAAATGATCATTAAGCAATAAAACACTAGTATTAAAAAATCATAATGCTGTAATAATAAACACTTAACATTATATAAGCATAGCAATTATACCCTAAACTCCAAAACTATGTACTAAGAGAGTTAACCTTTTACAAGATAGGTACAACACATCTTATAATTTGTGAACAAATATATACATGTGTCACTTTTTTTGAACAATAATCTTTTATTTTATAATCTGTGAATAAACAAGCATGTGTGATTTTCTTTGTCTATGATCATGAAAATGAATTAGTTCTTTTTGATCAATAATCTTTTGTTTTATAATTAATCCTAAAATAATTACAAACCCTATCTAAACCCTAAACCTATTCCTGAAACCCTATCTAAACCCTAAACCTATTCATGAAACCCTATCTAAACCTTAAACCTATGCCCAAAACGCTAAACCTATGCCCCTAAACCCTAACTAAACCCTAAACCTATGCCCCTAAACCCTAACTAAACCCTAAATCTATTTGGGTTTTTTTAGAATTTGAAAAGATAAAATTTCAGCACATAACTTATAGTTCGTTTAATGTTCATCCGAGGCTTCATAATATCCGAACACATAACATTAGAACGTACGAAGTCATAAGAAATGAGACATAGGCCATAGTCATGTTTTCAAACAAAATCATATCATACAAAAAACATACATAAATGTGAACACATAACTTAGTGATGCCTTCTTTGGGGTTATGCCTGCAATTTGAAACAACATAATTAGCTAAGCATAACATTTTTTATCATTTAATATAACACATCAGATATCACAGCAGTGAACAACAATCTCACCATAACAATTTTATCCTTTGGCCAAGCAAGACAGCTTCCAAGTGCATCTTCCATATACTCGATCTCAGATGTTGTCCTCCACACAGCAGCATCTTAACCTTCACAACATCCACAAAAACTCGACATGCACCAGGACCCAAAGGTTCAAAGTGGACAAGATGTTGAGGATTATTCGGTGACCAACGTCCTTCAGCCACTATCATCTTATTTCCGGAGAGATCAAGGAGCTTTATTTTTTGATTCTTAGATATTGAACTTACTGTTTTCGAACTTGGTCTTTCTGAAGCTGCAGAAAATGGTGTTCTTGAGTCTAACTGAACGCTAGTCGCAGGCCATGCTACAAAACAGTTCAGGTAATCCTCCATAGTTGTCTTGCCAACTGTAGGTCTCCATATGTATGCCTTTGGGTTGACTACCTAATCCACATACACTTTGATTGCATTTGGACCTAGAGGAAGTCCATTGACCAAGGCTTTTGGTTCTATAGTTTCCCAACGACCTACAGCAACCACTTCCCCATTCTGTATATAGTCCAACAGTTTGCAAGTGTTATTTTCACATGTGGAAGGGATCTGCCAAAAAAAAAAAAGAGTTTAAAATATGAAAAAATCAGGTAACGAGGAAGTCGAATGTTGGATACAAAAATTTAGGAAACTTAACCTTAAGAGCATTGTCCTGTGGATTGCAATTTACTGGTGGAAAAATACAATGATCAGCATCCCATGCAATCATCTCTCCTACTGCATCCGCGAGTGTAAACATATTGTGTGCAGGTCTCCATAAAAATGTGTCTGGTTTGGTCGCAGTTTCAACTAAAACCTTTATAGCGTTAGGCCCTAAAGGAATCCCATTGACTAACTCATCAACATCAGATGTAACAACCCGTCCCTCAGCAACATTCACATCAACATCATACCAATCAACCAGATAACACTAGGGAAGTGCTCTAGTATTTACACTCTACATCAAACACAAACAATGCAATATCAGTTTATAAATATAAATGTTGATATATATGAATACAGAGCAAGCGAATTCATACCCTGTTGTTTGAGTATTCACTCACTTCAGATTCTTCTCCCGGTTTATTCATTTTGGCAATAGCCTGCTGTAAATCAAAAACCTGTTTCTCCAAAGACACATGTTTTTCTTCCATTGCAGCCATAAAGCTGTTCCTGACTTGTAAACAAGTCAGTTTGGTCATGCTAATGCCTCTGCCCATTGCCCTCAACCGGCCAGAATTATCAGTTCCCAAAATCTATGTAAACCCATCATGTTTTGGATTTGTTGTCCTTGAATCTAGGTCCTCTTGTTCTATCTCTGCAGCATTTCTCTGGAAACACATTTCACAGTTTTAAACAACCAAGTCAGTAGATAGTCTAGTTGATGAAATCCACATTTAAAGATTATACACAACTTACAATCTTTTCACCCGCATTAACATTGACAGGCGTACCATCCTTCTTAGTTCGTGATTTCACCCAAACTCTTAGCCTTGACACTTCTGATGGATCGTCACTAGCCTTTACCAAATATTCTCTCAATCTCACCATTCCTTTACGCCCAGAAGTGTGAGGAATCTGCTTTTGTCTTCTCTCTCTATACGAATCACTGAGAACCTTAAAGGCGTTACTGGTCTTCTGTCGGACAAATCTACGCCATTCACTTGTAGAAACATTCTTGGGTCGCAAGTCCATCCTAGCTGAAATTGTTGAAGCTTTCCTGACAGAGCTTACAAGGCGTGATTTGGATGCTCTCCACAAACATCCCATTTGCTTAAACACAGTAGCTTTTTTAAACTCTTCGTCCAAGTCAAACCTCATCTGCAGTCAAGAATGGGAGACACATTCAATCACAAGTAAAAAATCTTTAGTGGATGTAAAAGTTGATTGTACGTACCTCAATAGATTTCCATAGCACAAGTCTGATATCTTCACCAAATTTTTTCCAATTGTCTATTGTAACTGGCACATGCTCACGTACTAAGCGTCCCAAATAGGAGGATAATGCTACAGACCCTGGACCACAAGGTTCTCCGAAATCCGTGAAGTCAAAATAATGACGTTCATGTGGATCTCTGGCAATGTGTTTCATCCTTGTTGCTCCTCGACGTCTTTTACACTGTGATTCAGTTACT